ACACCGCATAGAGAACTCATCCTCTGCTACCCCGACCGATACTTCCCCCGGTAACTCCTGATTTCCAACCGCCTTTGCGGGATACTCACTGATGTTCAAAGTTCCCTTCGCGGATCCGTCTCAAACCCCTAGAATTCAATGGAACCCGAGATTGATGCTACACCTTACGCTCGGGTGCAGAAACTCATTATCAAGAATACTCAACAAGCGAATCATTCTATGAATGGATCATCGAGTTTATTATTCGTTTTGATCCCACTTAGATTGATCCCCACTGATCTCGAGTCGTCACGGTTGATTAGAAACGAAACGATGCGATGTGATGCTTTGTACATTTCTCTGCAGTGAAGACCGACCCACTTTTTTCCAAGTTAGTAAATAATTGACGAACGAATTCGCAAGTTAGGATGTTCGGTGCCAGGTATTTAGTCTCTATGGAATAGATGCGGATTAGAAGGCGGGATAACACGATAGAGGCGGTGTATCTCACTCCAATGAATATTATTATTTTCCGACTGTATCCTTGTACTCGAAACCACTGATTATAATTGATGTATGAACCTCTGAAGTGGGATTACGATAATTGGGGTTGTCGTGCAATAAACAGGCGCATTTATTGCTTAATGGACGTCGTGGACCATTTTTATGGAAAAAAAAAAAAAAAAAAAAAACTTAAATACGGGAAGGCGATGGTTTGATTCACGCCGTGGCTTCAGGTTGAACGGTGTTCATAAGTTCTTTCCTTCGCCTCCCAGGTAAGTGAGGAATAATACCAATAAGCTGGCTGGATATACTCGCACGCAGACTCACTCTTGGTCTCGGTGTACAACACAGTGAGTTCTATCACATGAGCGATTTAGTCTGCACTATAGGCCTGATTTACTGGGGTCAGAGGTCATCAGTGAATAGCGTACAATCTGATTATTAAACACAAAATTCTAGACACGAAAATGGGTGGTACATAGTGTAAAAAGGGCAATGCAATGATAGAAGAACAATAAAAACCTAGAGTCTACCAGACAAGAACTCCCTAAATTTAAATTGTTTTTCTGCAATGGGATCACCAGGGACAATCCCAAAATCGTGATTATAGAATATAACAAAAGATGAAATCTGCGCAGCAGTGAAATTATAAGTAATAACATCTGGGACAAGGAGGAAGGTGGGGAGAGTTCCAATAAGATGGTTGGGCTGTCCAACTGCAGCTGCCACTGGCCATACCCATGGGAGATTTGCAGCAGGAAGGCCTGCAGCAATAAGGCGCCAAGTGCCATCACCAGGAACCTGGAAATCAATGAAAAAGGAGAATTAAGCAGTGCATTGTCACAGACTTACCTCTTTCTGCAAGTACCGTGAGGTGCGACTTCCTGTCAACTTTACCATGTTATTGATATTGCCGTGTTTCAAGTTATAAACACGAGCATCCATGACCTCCACTCGGGCAAGGAGATTGTGGACACCAACAGTAAGACCTACGATAGTATTTGTGAGGATTCCAACATTGTCGTTGAGATTCGCAACGACGTTCGTGAGGTCCGCGACGTTGCTTGCGAGTGTCATGACACCGTCTATGAGACCGGGATTGGGTGCTGAGATAGCCTGTATCCCGGCTATACGGGGAAAGCGAGCTAAGTATTTATACGGAGTAAACACTCTCGCGACTTACTGATAGCCCGAAGGGCAACTGCTTCATCTTTCGCAGTTTCAATAGCGTTTCCCGGCACAGTGCCTACAGTAAATCAGTCAGACGCCTAACTCTAATTTCCAAGGCGAGTTGAACCCAACGACGCACTAGTAGGAAAAGTGCTCATTGTGCACGCCGCTTCCTCAACGCTCTTGCGCACTGATGGAGTAATAGGGGTGCCGGCAAGAATTTCCTGCGAAGGGAAAGGAGGAGTCTGAGGGATGCTCACTGGTATGGAGTTGGGAAATTGAGTGTTCAGGCCGAGCATGTTCAGCGGGTGATTCATAATGGTAGAAAGGATCTAGAAAAAGTCGGAGGACATCTGAACCTTTAGAAATTCCGGAAATGTCACGTGTCAGTCTTTTCGAAAACTTAGCATAATTGTTTTTTAAAGAAAAAACCTTGGAAAAGATGACCAGCCTATGCCTCTGTAGTTGTTCACGATATTTAAGTAAGAGGACCCTATGAAGCTCTGAGAAACAACGTTGGGCGTACTTACACGGGCAGCATCAGTTATTCGGATACAGAATCAATAATACCTCCCCCGGCGGTATAGTCTGGTTTCCAGCTATCTTTGCGAGATGATCATCGGTCGCGGATCAGTCTCGACCTCCTGAACCTAAGATTGATGCTCGGCCGGGTGCAGAAACTCATTATCAAGAATACCAACGAGCGAAAATACTGAATAGGTTATCGAGTTTATTCGTTTTGATCTTATCTCAAGACACTGATCTCAAGTCGCCGATTAGAAACGAAGGCTGAAACGATGCGATGTTTTGAACCAATATTTTCTCGACCAGCTTTTCTTAAAATTTCCCTTAGAGAAAGGTTTTTCGGACGAACTAACAAGTCGAGACACTCTACGCCGGGTACTGAGCCTGAGCTTCTGGTTCAATGAATAGAAAGATTTCCAGTCGGGATAACAGGATAGAAGCAGCGCATCTCATCCAAGCAATGTACTACTAGTATTACGTTCGGACTGCATCCTTATGCGAAACCGCTGAATTCATTTATACTACGGATCTTTGTGTTAGAATACAGATAATTGAAGTTGCCATGCAATGAAGAGACGGATTTATTGCTTAATGGATATCATAGACCATTTTTAGGGAAAAAAAAAAAGTAATAAGAAGTGCTTTCCATTCACGCCGTGGCTTTAGGTAGGATCACCTTTATAATCCCATTCTTTGCCTTTCAAGTAGGTGAGAAATGGCAATGATCTGACCAGGCATACTCGCATACGGCGTTAGCCTACACGTCCTCGGTCTTGCAATTGGCGCGTGTCGCGCGACGCGTTTTGCTCTATCACGTGCTGTGAATAGCAGTGACACGCAATCAGTGCACTGTCATGACATTCTCAACAGCCCTGTTCCTTGATTCCGACCACAACGTTTCTAAGTTTCTTTCTCCGTTTCTGCTTCGCTCCTTCCCTTCCTGCTTCATATATCCCTTTTAGCATGCCAAGTCGGCCAATTATTACACGAGGAGATGTATGTCTTCCTATTCCTTCCCGGTATCCCCTCGCTCATATCATGTTTACTGTCAGCCATGGTTTGAAGACGGCAATATAATTCTAATTGCTCGAGAAGAATCATCCGCGCCATCCGAGGCTAATTCTATCGGGCTTCGTGTCCACAAAGGTGTCCTGAGTAGACATTCGGAGGTTTTCCAAGGAATGTTCGAACTCTCACAACCAGATACCACGTACGATAATGATAATGATAACGAACTATCGCGGTATGAAGGATGTCAGGTTATATCCATGTATGATATACCCATAGAATTGTCCAATCTAGTCAAAGCTCTATACGATGGGGCGTACGTTCTTCCCATCTTTTCTGTCGAATCCAGGCATTTAAAGCAGAGTGTGTCTTTAGAATTTTTAAAAACCGATCCGTAGATGATTTCTTCTACCTTGCTGGCATCCTACGACTGTCAACCAAATATTTTATTACCCACCTCCGCGCTCAAGCAGTGAAACACTTGACCCAAACTTGGTCTCACGACCTTAAAGGCCACGATACCATGCTTGAACTAGCAATCCGTACTCCTCCTCTCTTGTATGAGTCTCCGGACTCTTCATCTCCCGCGAACAAGCTGAGCTACCCTTATGTCCACCCCATCCACGTCTTAAATCTCGCTCGCAGCACAAATGTCCAAATTGTTATACCTTCCGCTATATATTTTCTCTCTTTATATCCTTTGGCCGACATTCTTCGTGCGGACCACCCTAAACTTCAAGTTTCTCATCCGTCCAAGCCCGATTCATCTCTCCAGCCGCCTGACCTGGCGAGATACACCCTAATGTTTCAACGGCGACTTGATGGCATCCTGGATTTTATCAACAACGTGGTTGGGGACCGCGTATCTTCGTCGCCAGGTTCCTCGTGCCCGAATGGGTCTCAAAAAACATGCACGAAGAATTTTCAACGACTTCGAACGAGGCTGGCAACTTCCTGGGTCATCAGGACCGGTCCATTCAATTTTATCGCACAGACAATTTCATCGGTCAGTCAGGATTCGGACGGCTTTTGTGCGGCCTGTCGGGAGACATTCGTAAAAGATGCTGGGACTTATAGGGAGAATTTTTGGGCAGAGTTGCCGTTAGTGTGTGGATTGCCAGAATGGGACGTTATGAAGAAAGAAGAGTTGTCATAGTTGTCGGCTTATCAGCAGGACTGATTTTTAGTTCAGGGTCTAATTTAGGGTTCTCGAGGGCAGTATTTTAGGTATGATATATTTGCACCTTTTACGCTATGCCCTGAAATTGTATCTCAAAACCTTCATGCGTTTGTTGACCTTGGCCCTGCTCAAACTGTAGATGTCGTTTATCATGATGGACGCTCTCGAATGACTAGCAAAGTTCCGCTATTACGACCTTTGTTCTTCGATCCCACCTCCTTGATCTTTCGACGGAATTTCCTAGCGGCTTGCTGCCAGAAAATGTTTTCAGTTTGATCCAGCATCGATGTTACTGGACATCTATTTATCTTTTACTCAGAGACGCCACCGTCTCATTGTGTACCGTAAGGTTTACTCATGACGGTCTGATAGTATCTCTCGCTTTGGTGAGGATGAAAATTGGTCTTTAGGTTGCAACTCGGAAGTGTGTCGAGTACAATGGTGCCTGCTTTCCCCAGAATGCATTCTCGGTGGTCAGATCGGCGTTTGACAAGGCTTCCGCTTTTCCTGCTTTTCAGGGGATTATGTACCACCAATGAATCCGCGATCCACAAACCAGTCTGTAATTGGATCTAACTCTACGCCTGATTATAACGAAGTGAGTCCAAAAATATAGCACATTTTCCACAGTGATTCCGACCAGCCTGGTTCGAACAGGCGACCCCAAGATAGAGATATGCATTCTTTCCGATTACAGTCTTGTGCTCTTCCAACTGAGCTATGGTCGGATCTGTTTGTTGATGTATCTCCTTCAGCTTCGAGTTTATCGAGAGATAGCCAATAGAACCCAATCCTTAACACTCTACCCCCTGTATCCACATTCTCACTCGATTCCTCTGGTCCCCGACACACCACCATTTCTCTACCATCTCCTCCGAAAGACTCGATGACGACGCTCGGTGGTCTTTCCCCGAGAGGTGGACTTTCGATTCTCTTTCAACGTCATTCGTCGCCGCCGCTGCCGTTTCCATCTCCATCTCCAATTCGAAGAGATCCAGCGCCCCCACTCCGATTCCCGTATTTGGATCAAATAACTCGACTATATATGAGTACGTTGAAGGTAGGATATCATCAGTCATCTCTCTGAGATAAAAGGAATACATACTCTGTTGAGCATCGAATGGCGCACCAACTCTGAACATCCCAGATTCGATCCCAAGTGCTTCTGCGCCTCCTAGCGTAGCAAGGAAGAGTGATTCCTTCCAGTCGATGGCGAGGCTCTTTCCGTTCTCCGCCTCCGCTTCCTCTCTCTCCCTCTCCCTCTCTCCCTCCTCTTCCTTCCGAATCTTCCTCTCCTTCTGACGCACACCCTCCCTCATCCTCGAAACCGCAACAGCGCTCCTCATCGCATTCATGATATCGAGACTATACCCCCCGGCAACATCCGTTCCTAATCCGATTTTGACTTGGGCTTCGAGAGCTTCGCGGAGGCAGAACGCGTGCGTGGGGGAGAAGTATATGTTGGACAAGGGACAGTGGGCGATGGAGGTGCCGAGGGTGTGTAGATGGGTAAACTGGTTCGTCGAGTGGGTACGCAGGGGACTGGAAGCTTTAGCATTAGCGTTGGAATTAGCATCGGTGGTGGAAGCGGGGGCGCAGGAGGACAGGAAAGTGCAGTGCGCTTGAATAGTACGTGAGGTTAGGAGGCCGTGCTAAGTTCAAGTTGGAAATGATGTATTTTATTAGTGGAGTGTTCCTATCGCCATCTGCTAATGATAACACTCTACGTACCTTCTCGAAGATGTGAATATCGTCATCCCCTCTTTCCTTCCTTACCCATTCGACCTGGTCGCTCGACTCAGCCATATGGCTTTGGATGCGCCATCCTTTCTGCTCAGCAAGTACACCGAGACCATGCAGAAGCTCATCAGAGCATGTCGGTACGAAACGCGGTGTGATCACTGGCTGGACGAGAGGAGGTCGGTTTTCAAATGATTCCGACGACTCCGAGGAGGAGGAGGAGGAAAAGTCTTCGACGATCCGTTCACCAAACTCTTTAACCGCGTCAATAGCAGCTTCGGCAGATTCCTCGACGTACGAAGGTCGAGAAGATATATCCATCGACACTTTCCCTACGAACGCACGAATCCCGGCTGCCCGCATTTCCTCTGCCAGGGTGAGATTTGTCTTTGCGTTGAGTGTCCCGAATAGACAAATTGCACCCGTTCCGGCCTCGACTAATCTCTGTCCTAGTCTCCGATAGACTTTCCTCGCCAGCTCCGGATTGATATCAAGCCTTTCCTCAGCCTTGAATGCGTATTGATGCAGCCATTCGAGGAGGGGCAGATCTAGACCGTTTCCTTGGTACAGGAATTGCGGGGCGTGCAGGTGCAAGTCATTGAATAGAGGTAGAACGAAGGAGCCTGGGGGAATTGTAACAAGTAAATGGCCATGTAATTGAACAAGCTCAGCGGATTTGGGGGATTCAATATGTTCGCAGTGGATGATGCATCCAAAGTTATCGATCGCTGGTACCGAAAAAAGCTATGATCATGATAATCTGGTTATGAACTCTACGATTACGCACCGATTAACCAATCCTTGAGAATCTCGAGCGCTCCCAGTTTCGGACAGTGCACAAAGGTTCCTCTGAGAAGCATCGATATCGTCATCCTGAGGAAAGCAGGCGAGGATAAGATTCCGTATCGCGGATACCTGTCTCAATACCCCGCTTCCCGCCGACAAGATCCGGCTGATAAGATAGCCGCTGCTGAAGCAGGCTAAAAGGCGTGAGGGCGCGAACGCTAACGTTAACAGATTGAAGATCGCAGAAGCTCAGAACGCGTTACTCAAAGAACTAGAAGGAAGACCATTGGATAGCAACATATCAACGGCAATAGGTATCTCAGCTCTAAATTTCTTACTCGCTTGGGCTGGGGTGCTGTAGGAAAAGGCGGGCGCATTTGCCTCGGTTCAAGTTGCATCGAAAACACTTGGCCAAGAGAGAGCTTACTAAAGTCCCTTGTTTGGAAGAAAATCGACAAACGCGGTACAGAGTTCAAGTGGCGGCTAATCTACTCCGAGCAGGCCTTCAGCAGGCGCTCCTGATTAGTACTGTCTAATCTCATCTTAGGTTATCATCCGGAAGAAAGCGAAGACAGCAAGAATAACACAAAGCCAAGTTCATCAGACTTACTGGACTTGGGGAGCCCATTTCATTTTATTGTCAGAATTAGACTGCTCGTTTCCTGAACATCACAAATGCAGTCCTATTTGGAGTGCAGCCGGCTCCATCCCAGCATGGAGGAGGTACTCCTCTATTGTTTTCAAACTTGATGTCGTAGGTAACCAAGACATGCCCGAGGAGCGCCTTAAGTTCGTTGACTGCGAAAAATCGTCCTGGACTGACGACAACATATTAGGAAGGTGCAAAAGTAGACATAGTCTCTCTTGCTCACCACATGTGCCTTCCTCCACTACCGAACAAGGCATAAGAAGGGTCCTGCGCAACCATCTGATGCTTGAACCCTTCACCCTCCTTGACTCGCATATTTGAGAATCGGAAAGCATTCAAACTTTCAGGATCCTCGTACACCTCCTACAAAAAAATGAATTAATCGCTTCGGTATGGCTCGAACCGGTCAATTGAACTTACTGGGTCGTGATGCAGAGCGTACGAAACTGTATGGACTATGGTCCCAGTAGGAACTACGGTTCCATCAGAGAAGGTAAAGTCTTTCATCGCCATTCGGCTCATGCCCACTAGGATATTCTCAATCATAACGACGATAACGAGAGAGAAAAATGGACGTACATCCACTGACGCCAACAAGTCGTTGCACTTCTTTCATATAGCTATCCAATTTCCGCATTTGGCCCATCGCGGCTTTTGTCCAACCGTGTTTCTCGACGCAGGCCTGAACTTCTTCGCGCAGAGGCTGCACTATATGGGGATTGGCAGCTAAGTAATAGAGGGAATTTGTGAAAGTCTCGAAAAGAAAATGTGAACATGAAAAGGGGTAGGCGTGAATAAAGGACTGCCGTAGACACTCACAACACTCTGCGAAAGGTGGAACTGTTACCAAAAAGTGGACCTATACGGAAAGATCAAAAAAAGCTTACTGTGGTATGAATGGCAGCAAAGTTAATAACGAGAACACGAGAGACGATGTTGTATATGATGTCTTTGCGACGGTCCTCGGTGTTGGCTTCATCGAGAAGCCAGGAAATTAGATCATTCTACCGCAAACAGTCGGGTCAAGTAAAAGAGGGAAACAGAATACTTACAGGCTTTCCAGGCCAATCGGTAGTCCCATACTCTTCCTCTTTCCGAAGTCGTTCCTCAATAACTGACTTCAGATGCTTTGTAGCCCGTGCAACGCCGGCAGGGACTTTGGTCAAAAATTGCCGTATCAGACTGCACATTCCCCGGTATATGAGCATGCGTCATGTTGAACACATTCAGAAACAGAAACATACGGTTTCAGGAAGCCTGGATAATGCTGAAGGGTTTTGGCGCCGTTGAAAGCGTCAACTGTAAACTCGATGTTGAGTTTCTAAGGTAAGAAAATGAGCAGAAATGTAGACTACTAGGAAGAATCACCAACCATATAATCTGGATCTCTGCAAAGCGGAGAGCCGACGAAATATCGATTGCTTGTTCGAGAGATAATTTTCATAGCTGTGTACAGCATTGGTATTTTCATCCATTCCGATTCTTTGAAACCATTGGACATCAGATTACGAGCCTAGAAAACGATTTTGCTCTGTTTACCTTTGGCAGGGATTTCATCGGCGAAAGCATCTTTGATCTCATCCCGCAGATCTTCGAATCGAGCTCCCAAGTTTCGCGTAAGAGCTGTTCGAACGACATCAATTTGGTATGAATCTTCTCGAACACAGCGACCAAGAGTATAGTCTGTTTGCAAAATCTGCAGATCGGCTCTGATGAGTAAATTTCCACAGTGAGAAGATGGCCATCGGGTATCCTTACTTTAATTGCAGCTTCCTGGGGGGAAAGGTCTTGATCGTTGGCTTTCCTGATTTCGTCTACCATAGTTTTTCCAGAGACAAAGACTTCCCATCCATCAGGAAGTGGTACTTTGAATGCTCGTCCGGGATACTTCGAAAGACTGGGGTCAACTGGGGCTACTAATAGATGAGAGTTGACGTAGACCTACTTTTTCGTATCCTTCCTGAAGAATTTCTATGGCATGATCCTTGAACCTCCGAGCACTTAAATACGAGGAGAATATTCCAGAGTTGCCAACGGTGGGTATGGCATTCAGCTGGCCGGGCATTAAAGTTAGTATACGTAAACCATAGTTGAAAATGCGCCGCTTACTTTTACCATCCGAGCGCGCCATCGCAAGAACCTTGGGAGTATGAGGGTTGCCAAAAATATCGCTCCCAGCGTAAGTATTCGGGAGAAGGGAGAGAGAGACATGTCTTCACCGCAGAGTTTCTCGGTTCCCAGTATTTATGGAACCGAAAAGACAGCGCCAGGGTCATGAGACCGTGTCTGGAGAGGTGCAACAACAAGTACAGTACCCAATTGAAGCTTCGAGTTGACAGGGAATCGAATATTGCTTTGAAGGTGATCGTATCATCGTAGTGCATTAACCTTCCTCGGTGGTTCTAGCAATCGTAAGTGCTTCTTGTTTTCAAAGAGGTGAGCACCCATAATTCCGCGAATATAGTCAATTATAATTCATTTGCATTGCAAGCCGATTGACATATTTTGAATGAAGGAAATATTTCAATTCTGGAAAAACCGACGACTTAATTG